GCTGTAGTTTTTTCTCGTATCTTCTTCCACTCTGCTGCGAACAATCGTCCACGACTTTGACTTGGAAATTCCGCTATTTATCCTCCACGTGTTCTGATTTCACTCTCGAAACTGGCTCATGCACCCTCAATTTTATCATACCTGTGCGGCGCTTAAGCAATCCAATTGTTGGTGGTAATCGGGCTTCCACTTCCCCGCCAATTTACTCAACTGAACCTAATTCAGCTTCTTCTGTTTCAGAATCCATCGGAAATTAATTGTTCTTGAACCTCCACTCGTTCGCAAATTCCTGACCATCTCGCTCGTGGTAGTTTCGATTTGTTTGTTAATAATTTCTATTTGGTCCTCTTATTTCGTCTCGTAATTTGTTGTTCCGTTCATCCGCTTTCCTAATTCAATTCTTCAGTTAATTTCGATTCTGTTCTTCTGATTTCCGATTTAGTGTTGAGTACCTTCTTTGTAAAATTCCCTCACTAATAATACAAAAGCATTCAAAATGCCTTTAAACATAGCATCACAGCACTTTTTAACCAAAAACGCACATATGGATTGCTTTTGTTCGCCCTCCAAATAATGAATACCAATCTAACTGCAGTTACCAAATTATTTCCAGATCTACTTTGTTTGAACAAGTTAATATTGCTAGTATTTTTTTATTCACAATAATACCTTCTTTTTCCTTTGCGCAATAGCAGTTTTTCTAACTACTTGCATTAATTAATAATTACTAACAAAATATACCCTCCACATACCATTAGATATTTATATCCTCAATCCAGTTTATGGCACACTGAAACTTCCATGTTTTTGTCTAATTCCCTGGAGCACATTTTCTTAAATACACGAGTCCATACTGTTTCGGGTGCCAGCTGTGACGTACCCTGGGAAGCGGTACTTTGCACGACAAATAAATTATGCAAGGGACAGGTACATTTTCGGTTGATGGGACTCCAGGAATTTGGCGGCAGCATAGAAGATAATCGTTTATATATTCTTTTGCACATCTAAAATATTTTAATGATCAGAAAACACACATTACAAATCGTATTTACAAATCGCAATGCGCAGGTCTTGGAAACAAGCGCACGGTCAACGCGTACTGCTGTATTTAAAACCACCTGCTTTCCTCGGAGGCGACCGGGGCCCGTTGGTGGAAACGGCGGCGGTGTCTTCGGCAATCTTCGTTTCGCCCGAAGTCCGCCGGGAATTCGCCCTCCGTCGGCTGACCCAACTCCTCTGGCCCAACGTACGGCCGATGATTCGCAGGGTCCACTCCAGCCGGTTGTGACAATGTTTCGACGTCGGTATTGCGAAACGCACGACGCGGGTAGATTGTTTATGTGCGTCGGGTTCTATGTCTTTTAAGCGAACCTTCTCAACTTTTGGGCGCGGCTGTCCGTACAGTAACAGCCCAGACATAGTGTTATATTATACCAGGGGGGATTATGGACACGAGGTCCCCACCGGCCACAACGATTTCTGTCCTTATTGGTTTTCATCAGTTCTGGTGGCGCAATTCCTTCCACTAATCATCTGAACTGTTAATCTTTGTCACACGCTGGTTCACATTAGCGCGGCCACACCCTCAGTTCAGAACTGCACTTAACAGAACGACAATAAATAATTCTTGGACGCAAGCACTGCCGTCGTCTTTCACTCCGAGGCTCTCCGCGCACCACTAACCGTCGCTGCGCCCGCCGTATCCCCCGATTTGACGTTAGTGGCGGCGGCGGCGTTACTCGCGCTGCATCAACTCCAGTAACTTTTATTTTAATTTATAATTGGTGATCATTGTAATTGGTTCTACTTATAGGAACCGTTTTCTCGTTTCAATATATATATATATATATATATAATATATATATATAGTATCTATATATATAAAAACAGTGACCGTCTAATCTATTCGATTTCACATTTAATACAAAATAAAGGATGCAATTTGAAATGGAATAACAGGAATATATGATAAATAATAATATAATGATATAATATACAAATTTTAACTTACGTAGCATAAATTGGGAGAGGAGCATTACTTCACAAATTGGGAGCGAGTGACTGAAGGCTAGCAATCTTTATTTCATACTTACAGGTTTTAAATAATTTCTAAAAGATTAATTTCTAAACGTATAAGCAAAAGCTCCAATGTAAGAAATGACCAAAGAAGTATGAAATAATACACACATACTCACGTACTTATTATTGAGAACTGGAATTTTTTTTGGGAAATCTGTAGCTTGGTAATAGTTATGAATTATTTTTCTACAGGACTTAATGTTATAGAGTTGTAAAGAAAAAACGAAACAATTCAGAAAAAATACTGTCTTTCGGGCCTCCTGGAAGGGGCGAGATTTTAAAGTAAGTGTTGTACAACTCGCTCCAGGAAGTCAGTACATCACTGGCTATTTGACCCGTGACTGTCGTTTCAAAACGTCTGTTGACAGTTATTGTGCCAAATTCAACTATGTTAATTCCAATTTTCTCTACTAAAGCAAAGAAATGTTCCATTAAAATGTAGTAATACCAGTCAGGTTTTAAATTGTCAATTGAGAGTGACATTAAGCGTTTCGAATCGAAAGTACCTTGTTTTCTTAGTATATTTACTTACGAGGGCAATGGTTATATTCACTTCCAACCTTTAGGTTTGGATCTTTAACAAAGATTCTTATCTGTTAAAAGAGCTGCCCTTCCGTGAGATATAATTGTACACGTATAGATATTTTTCATAACATAATATGTCACATTGCTACATTCACAATTAACTGAATGATTTAATAAAATATAACTCAAAACGTAGAAAAAATCGCGTTTCTAACATATTTTTGATACCTGACAAAAATGCTTCCATAAGGCTGCATTTAAAAAGAAAATAAACATAAAATAGTAGTAATTAATAGTAAAGAATATAATAACATTCACATCTCGGATATTTGATAGAACAAATATGACACACATCATTTTGTATGTAGCCACTATTCCTCGACGCTTTGGCTTGCATGTGTACAACCCTTACTGGATTTTGAGGGGAAATCAAGTAAGGGATTCGGGGGGCGGGGGTTCAGTGCTAGCAGGAGAGCCGGGCTTCCCAGGAGGGCAAGTAGCTCGTGCCTGCGCGGCTTGACACGGCTGATCTATTGTTTTGCAGGTTCTCTGAAAATTGGCAATTTCACAAAAAGATTGAGTTGCCTGGTTCGCATGTTGACTAGTAGAGGGATTGGCATACAACTTGAAGTATATTATTTTTTTCTATATAGTATATTTTTTCTATAATAAATGCCCTTATTGTTCATAGTACGTGAACCATTCATGGTCATCCTTTTACTCCTGTTCGGATTCAGAATCATGATCAGATTCTTTTAAATAATCAGAATAATCTTCGTCTTCAAGTTCTTCTAACACACCTTCCACGAACTGTTCAAACCCAACATCATCAGGTCTAATTGAGGAAGGACCAGGTCTTCCGAACATCATCTATATCACGTGTGTGGAGAAATATTCTCTCAGTAATTAAATGTTATCTAGAAGTTTATATATCACTCGGAAAAATAGATGACTGCTATCGGCGGTATAACGTACCGCACCCTCTCTAAACAAATTATACAACAAGAAAGAAATAAACCACAACAATATTGTTTACGTTTTACTATGTTTGATGTTATCCTGTTTATCTGCTCTATGGTAGAAAGTTGCTGGTGAAATCCAAAGTGATGGTCCGGTATGATGTTTCATAAGCGAGAAAAACCACTAGTGAAGCTCTTACTTTGTTCAAAAGTAGATCTACTCTTACCCATCTCGATCAGATTTTTGCCCAGTTTTCCTGATCCATTGAGCAAATGCTGAGATGGCCCCTTGTTTTGCTTCTGGACGTGAATGTAGCTTCACTATACGCACGTTTCGTTGACCTCTCCTTTTGTTTGTAATGGTAGGAGTAGAGGTAAGGGCAAGTTACTATTTTGTTAGCAATGCAGAAAAATCATACTTGCAATTCGTTTACTGATGCAAAATAATTTTCTATAACTCGGGAACGGAAATGTGTATTTTTTTCAAATATTGCTAATCTCGCGCTTTTTCATTTTTTTGCATTTATTTATTTTAATCTTTTACTCATCTTTCAACTATTTATAGTTAAAATGACGGGAAGGGATTCTGGAATTCAAGAAAACGAGCGCAGATGATCTTCTCCCATACGTCACATACAGTTTTTACTGTTTTCTTGACTAAATAAATCTAAATCTACAATGAAGGTACTGAACCGCTGGTCATGTAGACGCAACAATCAGTGTTTGTTGCAAAAGTCTGAACTTGCGAGCGCGGTATTTCAGACCACAATACCAATTAAAGGTTCAGAATTAATGAAATAAATCAAAGGAACATTGTTTTTATTTGCGGTATTCATCATTCGTTTAATTTTTTCAGTATTTAAAATTGTTACAATTCGCTTTGGATACGTATGCGACCCTTTTAGGTGCTAAAATAATCGTTAATATTTGAGCAGTGCAAACTTTAGTTTCCGTAAAACGTCAAATTATTTCTATATTCGTCGCTGTTGGCTTTTGCGTCGTTGTGGCGATATTTCAGCCTGTATGTATACGCCATTCAAGCAAATAATCTGTCGATCTTGGACTGGATTCTTGGGTACGTTAAACAAGGCCAAAGATTATCTGTGCATGTTAGTGACTCACTGGAGTTCAAAGCGCATCAGCTTCCCATGGCAGAAATACGGGATTCCTCGTTTCAAGTGCATTAAAAAACGAATGAACAGAATACGCACTGTTCATTCACTAACCGAACGTTGATACAATGTACGAATAAAACAATTGTTTAAATGAATGCATTTAATTTATCACAACATGTTTTACTTTGTATTGTGCTGTAATAAAATTTCGAAAATCTTCTAACTGCGACGTTATGAGAATATTAAGGATGGTACAAGTGAAAGGGATAAGTTGGCAACAATGTTGTACAGTTTAAAGTCCTTTTTTTCCTTTTTGTCCATCAGAACATTCACAGATAGTGAGCGTTGGCTGGAAATAGTTCATTCCTTCTCGATTTCCTTAGTGGATGTAGTCTTTTGCTTTGACATAGTGTGTTGCTTTGACATATTTTAAGAACCACTACTGAATGACGTGTTGCATTGCATCAGAGCTAACTACAGTGTAAGTGCAGCGAGATCGCAGGTAATACGAAAACAGGTACCATGATATTAAAAGCGCCCGAATGTCTTGAGATTGATTAGCATAATCGTTTTCTGTAATTTCTACTCACATAGAAAATTTACTGTGCAAAGTTTGCGATGAGCCACATGTGCACAAGTGCCCGATGATGCCACATGTGCACATACCATTATACAATCGAAATTGATGTCATCCGTGATTACTCTCAGCATGTTTTTTTGTATTCGCTACATAGCAATAAGAATGGGAATGGAGGGATGATTTTCGTTGCTAAGCATGCCTCTCTTATCTAGAATTCGTTCTACTTTATGGATGTTTAGGAGAGGCCTGCGTGTCAATAGATTTAGGTGATATTAAGTATATTTATGAACTAGTGGTGCTACAGAATGTCACAGACTTTCACGTATTAGTTTTCTATTTCCTTTGGTCTCGCTTAGATACTCGGACTTGTCACATACTCTTGCCAGCTGCCTTCTATCGCCACCCAAAGTACATTTTTTGACATTTTCTAAATTTTGTGTTTCGTAATTGTAGAGCGAAAATATTATTATAATATTATTAAAGAACAGTAAAAGTTCGCCTAAATAGCAATTTACAATGGAAATGTGAAGACTCTTTTAAAAAAAAACTTGCGTTTAAGCGCTACTGTTACTTCGAAATTTGAACTTTTTTCACAAAAAATGTTGGAGTTTTCGAAAAACTTCATATAAATCATTTTAAGTACTTTAACTCACAAATACAATAGTGTTTGCAAATTGTTGGAAATGTGCATATCAATGGATTGAGAGATGTTTCAAAAAATTTACATTTTTAATTCACATTACACACACAAAAATTACGCCCTCAGAAAGGTCGCAGAATGGCGACCGAAACGTCGGCACCTTCGCCATGGACGCGGCGTCACCCGGACAGCGTAGTAAATACAGACGTTAATAGTGTTCACAGACACCAGACGGACAGATGGACGGACGTTTTGAAAAAAAAACGCTTTTTCGGTATTTGGGGACCCCAAAACGTGTATTTTGGTTGAAATCCATTACTTTCCATATACTAAGTATATTACTCCGTATATACGTACATACGTGAACGTAAAAATTATCATGGCAGCGTAAACCCTAAAGCGGATGCAAAGGTGAATTCTGTTCATTAGACTGACCTTTTGCTCTCTAAATCCTGAAAAGTTCAAGAATATTCAGAGCCTCTCTTCGAATCTTTCGATCGACACCTGCATGTGCCTGCAGGGTTGTTTTGATACGGTTCGAAATTTGAGTTTAGTTTTTTTGCTTCGTGAAATGTTCCACGCGTGACGTCTCTATTTTATTTGTTTTCTTTCATGATACATTTTTTTGACTGCAGATTGAAGGTAGTTAATAGCATCCCCAACTAATACTGTAATCCCAAGATAAAGAATAGATCAAAATCTATGGTCTAGGTGCGGACTACCACTGAGGCGATGGGTACTAGAGTTAGAGGGAGAAACATTCATTCATTCATTCATCCATCCAGCCATCCATTCAGCAATCAAAATATCTCTCAGTAAATGTTATTTTTTGTGAAGTTAGTTAATTTGGAGAAAGATGTATGAGTGCGTTAGTTAAATGAAAAATTAGTTAATGAGTGCGAGAATAAACATTTTTAAAACTAAAAAAATGTGACTTTTGAATTCCATTTAAATAATTCCAGTGTTGCTGGGCGCATTATTGGCAATGAATGATACCAAAGAAAGTGAGTTTTAGAAGACTTGGGGTGCTGGGTATGGAGTAGCTTAATGAAGATAAATTTTCAGATGATAAATAAAATATTAAAAGAAGTAGAAAAAATGCAACTAGTAGAACCGCAGAGTAGGTAAAACTGAAAAATATTACTGTTTTCCCATAATTTAAAATTTAATATTTATTTCCACACCAACTGTCCCCATGTAATATAAATAAGGGGATGATGGTGCAAAAAGACCGTCATGACATGTTCTCCATGAACTTTGCACTCATTCTTAAGGTTGAAGTAGCATCTCTTAATCATCCTTTTTGCAAGCATATTTTATAGCATTATTTTTGATACAATATTGCATGTATATCCGCTTCACCGGCACCAATATTTACGCTATTTAGAATTGCATTAATAGATCTTACTTCTGATGTGTGGTCAGGTTATGCGTGATTCATACACATCCATTCAGAAAGACATCGTGATAAACGTTTGTTTGAGAGATCCTTCAAAAGGGACTTTGAGAAATCCTTCACTCCTTCACAGAAATTTCGACCTCAATTTTCTCAAGTAATTTGCTTCTATAGTACGTGTAACCGAGAAATAATAAAAGTAAAGGAAATTGTTATTAATTTTGCAAAGTAAACATGTTTAGATTTAGATTTATTTAGAATTTAGTCAAAATCAGTAAAAAATGTATGTGACGTATGGGGGAGAAGATAATTTGAGTTCTAGAATCCCGTCACATCATTTCAAATATTAATAGTTGAAAGATGAGTAAAAGTTAAAGATAAATACATTAAAAAATAAAATTAAAAAAACGTGACATTTTAGTTCCCGTGTTTTAGAAAACATATTTGCACAGTAAACGAACGTACAGTAAACAATAAACTAACTGCAGATTTTATTGCTAACAAAATTGTAACTCACCATTACCTCTATTCCTACCACTACAAGCAACGGGAGAGTTCAACAAAACATGCGCATATGAAGCTACATTTACGTCCAGAAGCAAAGCAAAGGGTCATCTCAACATTTCCTCAATGTATCAGGGCAACTGGACAAAAACCTGATAGAGATGGGGGTCATTGATCCGGAAGATGAAGTACATTACTTGTTACAAGCCTAGTAAATCTTTTAAAAAATATATAATACAAATAAACTAATTCATTATATACCACTGCTTTGTTAAAATAAACATTATTTTTCTTTTTGATGATCAGTATAGTCTCTAATTGTATAGAAACAGTTATGCAGTAGAAAAGATTTTACTTTTAACTTAAATATGTGTACCGACTTCAATTGTTTGTCTGTAATGTCTTTTGGCAATGTGTTGTAAAGTAACGTACATGTATTGTATCTGTGTTTCTGGAATTGAGCTGTTGATACAGACACTCGATGTACGTGATTTCTACGATGTGTGTTGTAATTAGAAATATTAGTATTGCATGAAAATATGTTCCTACTATGTAAGTCGGTTTTGAAAAATATTATAAATATATAGGTAAATTAGTAAATACATAGGGAATGCAATGGTAAAATTCCAAGGTCAATGAAGAGCGGCTTGCAGGGATCACGAGAATGGCATTTTTTGATTATCGAATCATTTTCTTTTGCAACTTAAATTTTTGTGTACTACATTATGTGCTTCCCAAATATTATGCTATATCTCAGGCTGTAATGCTCATTTGCAAAATACATGTGTAACAAAATATTTTGAAATTGATATGCTAAAATAAAATTAGAGTTTCTTTAAGGAAAAATATATTAATATACGATTTAAAATATTTACTTAAATATTTCACATCTTGTTGCTTGACCGATGTATAGGTAACTGACAATGGTTTTCAGGGCCAATTGTAGCAATGGATTACCACATTTGGTGGATAGTGTTGTTAGTCTTTGGAAGCCGTCAGATTACAGCAAATAAAGGTAATAGTACTTTTATTTCATGAACAAGTACTTTGAACAATTTTATTGGAATATTTTAACTTTTGCTCTTTCTTAAAACTAAAAATATTGTCATTTCATTATCTTCACCCAATGAAACACACTAGAGAAATATCTACAACATAAAAAACTGTTTGAAAGTTTAGGAATTCATTTGTTTTCGTTTATTTTACAGACATACTTGACTTCACAGTGGTTTATAGAACACCCTATAAAACATCGTGGCCTCCGCCAGATTATGTGGAAAGTACGTGTAATGCACATACTGTGAAGAATTACCTGTTCAATATTTGTTTTAGATAAATGGCGATTTAAAAACGATTTTTCATTTCAGAAATAAAAGAATATCATCGTTCAGGAAATGCAAAGGGAATGCTTTTGAAAATTGATGATGATTATATAGGTATGTATCCTAGAATCAACCTACCTAAAAATGACAATGGGGAAATATTCTTATATTCCACTTACAGTAATTAAAGGTAACACACTATTCCTAAACAAACTGAATTACTTACGTTGACCAGTTATATATTTATCAAAATCATTAGATAGCCAGGAACAAAAAAATATAACAAAATTATAATATTAACACATTTGTTATAATTCAGAGATATATAGATAGTCCATGAATCAAAATTAAACATTATTTCACAGAGAAAGTTTTATTTTTAATTTTTTAAACTTTGTGACAAAAAATGTTAGAAAATGAAAATACTAATGTTACAAATTTTTAATTGCTTCGCTCGGGCATAGGTACAAATAATTTTTTATCATGATAAAAAATAATGGAAGCATTAAAGATGGTAGTTCTGAACTTATGGTGTCACAGCTCAGGTCCTATTTCTGTACACAAAAATTCGTTATCTCTCTAAATAAAAGTTGTAAATTTTTCCTTAATGTTTTTGTTTTTATCATAGACATATTGATTAAATACGTAAATGAAAAAAGACTTACTAAACACAATTTAAAAACTTTGCATTATTGGGGTATAATAAATCTTAGGAAGAGGAAGTTATGTAATGATGCGCAAAAAAACGGCGATTTAAAAAAAATAGAGTTTCGTTACTGTGAAACATTACTTTGTTTACAATGACAAAATTATGATACTGGGATAAAACTGAGATATTGTAATTGAAAATTTAATACTTATACAGTATTATATTCTCGCGTACATAGCACACAGAAAAGGTCGTACCAATTAAGCTATATGGGGTAAAATTCGTAGTATAGAGAAAGGTATGTAATGCTGCAGCAAAAACGGTGATTTTTTGTCAGGTAAACTCGTATGTGAGACACTGGTACAAAACACAGTGGATAAATCATGTTCCAATATCAAGTAAATTATTTGACATCACGTTAACGGTAAATAAAATTACCGGTATTATTTAATAAACAACAAAATTTATTTTATGGAAACTATTATAGCAACAAACAAGAGACAATTTATTATGTAGTTATTTGTTATATATCTCTGTATGGTTTAATAGTAATAGCGGGTTTTCCAAATGTGAATTTGTCGAAATTTTGCAATCCCGATATTAGTTACAGAGAAACAAAATTTCTTTTTTGAGAATTATTGAGCAACAAAACAGGAAAATTCATTTGTAACAACTTTTATTCATCTCTGTAATTTCTTGGTTTTCTAGTAATTACGGTACAACTTGTAATAACTTGATGTCAAGTTATCCGAATGTTTTATAGCAATGTCAAATGAAGAGTGGCAAATTTTATTTTGCGCAAAACGTTAATGTAATTTACATATAATAATGTTTTTAATGTTTTTTTTAAATAGGTTTTTTTAAATATCAATGCTAATTTTACGGACCTCTTGTGGTGCGCACAAGATCCATAATCTAGCACTGAACACCATGAAGCCCCCGGCAAGGCGGGAAATCGAGTTCAATTCCCGGCGACAGAAAATGTGTTAACACGCCTGAATGTAGGCCAAAAATATTAACGTGACATTCTGATTTTAAGTCCAATTAGTAGCGACTTCATAATATTGGAAGTTTGGCGAGACCTTGAGGAAGATACTTCAGCTAATTAATCGGTTGATCTATAGCAAGGAACAAGATATCCGCCATTGTGGAGAGGGGAATATTTCCCGACTGATTCTGGTTATATTTTCGAATTTTTACTTTTTGTACGACTTAAAATGTTCTTATTTAAATTACTGCAAGAGAGATGTGTGCTCACGCAGTTACGGGAACTTTGGGTTTAGTAGATTCGTAACAACTGCCTAAATTAAATTTCATCGGCAGAAAAAAACACTAACTACAATATTGGAATTGTAGAAACAAGCCCCCAAAAAATTTAAATTTCGCAATTTTTAAAATGTTTGAGTTAGCAGGGAAAATTTGACCCCTAAGTAAATGAACCTCAATATAAGTGTACTTCGCTCTATTCATACAAGATATTTAAAGAAAAAATTCGACATTTGCTCTACAATTAGTAGATTATTAGAAAATTATTAATTCATGGCGGTTTTAGAGCTAGGCATGTGCTCAGGTACATTCAGTATGGAAGCTACATTCATTTAAGATAATTCAAAAGTAGAAATTCTGTTTTGACAAAAAATGATGGTTAAATACTCAGGAAAGGGAATAATATTTATTGTAAAGGAGTTCTTCATGTTACAAGTGAATCATAGAGAGCTGTGATTCGCGGATGTCGATGTTATAAAATGTACCTCTTCTTCTAATAAAACATTTTGTTTCAGATTCTGTAGAAGGGATGGTGCCCTTAAATTGTGCCCCTGCAACATCAGCTTGCCAGTGGGAATATTCAAATTCGTGGAATTTTGTTGCTGTCAACACTAGTGTAGATCAAGATTTTACAATTAATATTGGAGAGGAAGATCAAGAAGGTATGATCTAATAAAATACTCTTAATCATAATCAACATAATTTCGAACATATTTCCTAAAAATGATATTAAAAATGGTTTAATATGTAGGCATCTAAATGAATTAAAATTGGGCGCCTGATCACGAATATAAACAATTACAAACATCAGTAGTTAATAAACCAGGGCTTCTGGACTCTATTTTGTGGACCCATAATTTTATTTCAAATATTCAAATATTTCCATTTTTTATTAAAAAGGTTATATTAATTACAATTTTACGATATTTTCATCCTTTTATCCCAATATTTACTATTATTTTTAAAATTTTACATGTTTTGAGGCGTTGAGGTCTATTTTAGAACAGTAGACCACATATTTCAAAATACATAATTTTTAACATTTCAAGCAACATTCAACATTATCTTCATTTGAAAGAACAACATATTGATAAAGCTGCGTCTCTGCATTGGCTAACAAGTGGATATTTACACCCATTGAAAGAAAGAAATATAAATGTTTATTCCCTTTTTAGATGTCCTATGAGATTAAAATATATCATGACAATTAAATATTTTGTAATATTGATGTTCATTTACAGTTTTAATAAGATTTCCTTTTTTTATTCTTCAACATTATGTAATATTACTACGCTTACACTACGCATACAGCTGCATTCGATTTATCTCCATTTATATAGAACATTTTTATTAAGATATTTTTATCTACAGTACTAAATTATAGTGTTAAAATCCATTATTTTAAGTGATAAGGGTATTTCAAAAACCATCTATTTTTATCTTATAACTGGAGATGATTAAAAGATTCAGTAACCCGATTCCTAAGGTGCAATTCAAGAACTTTTTGTGCCTCTGCAATTCTTTTCAACAAATATAGGCTTCTCTCAATAACTGCACATGTCTTGCATTTTTCAGTCTTTTGAAGGATTTGCGAGTTTAAGCATGTTCCCTTAGGAACAACTGCTAATGTTTAGAGACAACATGCTTTTACGCCCCACTTTCAGCTGATCTCGATTTACAGACTCCTGTTGTATTTACAGTATCGTACAAACGTTTCTCTCTCACGTTGATTAGGATGATTATGATGATATATGTCATAGCCAAATCTACAATAAGTCACGATTTTGTCTCCATACCCCCCCCCAAAAACATCCAGTTTCCTTGCGACTATAGTACGATCAGTTTGGATATGTTGGTCAAACAATTTTAAATTATAGTGTTTTAACTACTTTGGAGCGTGTTTCATTAAAAGATAGGCAATGTAAATACAATCAGTCGTTTGTCAAATTTAGATAATAAATTCTTACTGTGAAAGGGCTTCGTATGTCCGTCCTTGTTGGCACATTGACCGCCAAATTAATTTAAATTTGGCGCCACGCTTCAAACAGTTTAATTTCACTGCTCTTTGAAGGCATTTTAGAAGAAAAGATCATACATTTCTAACTTCCCGCCTTCAAGATCTAATTTGGCTCAAACAATGCCGCGCGAATTTCTTCCCAGTTGAAAAATACTAATTTCTTTCGTACAAAGTTCTTTGACATCGATTTTCAACTGCTTTCTCTTATTTCGAACAGCCACCAAAAGATCGCATCAGCTCCTGGGCGGCCGAGACGAAAGATGTATTCATTGTCAGATTTCTCGGAATCCAACTTTTTCCACGTTAGAAGCGGCGGGCTCGCATTGTCATGAAAATCAGAGGAGCCGCGAGCGGTTTCGTGACAATAGTGCACAGAAGTTAAGTGAAATGTGTTGGACGCATTCAAAATTCGATTCCGGTCGCTGCCAGGCAATTCCCAGTACCTTTCTGTATTCTAACATGCAGTTAAACATGAAATTCGTAACGAAAACGTTTAACTACGTCTGGACAAAAGTAACAATGACAATCTCTTTAATTATCATTGATTCTTTCGGCAAAGTAACAATCTTTGTCAATTGTGTATCATTTCTTTTCCAGAACACTCTCGTATGATGAGAACTTTTGATGGAAAAGGCGATGTTCGTTGCAGTTTTTGCTAATACTCTCCGAATTTATCTAAGAAATATTTTGCAGCTTCAAAAATCTTCAATATCTCTTTTCAACAGTCAAACCTTTTATTCATAATACCTGATTTTATCTATTTGTAATATTGCTATTGAGAAAAAGTTCTCTATGATGAGAAAAATCCCATTAAGAATAACAGAAATGTTTAACAAAGTAGATAGTTATATTCAACAAACCAAGGGTTTTGGTTTGGCATTCTAATACCGGGCGAGCTAAACGTATGTTACGCACAAAAATGTCAAAAATCCACTATCAGTTACGCCTTATTTGCGTATGTAACGAGAAAAGTTGTAAACAATAAAATTGTAAGAAATTTTATGTAGAATGTATTAGCAGAGAGTAATTTTTATACATAAATTCTGTAATTATTAATAGGCAAAAAAGTTTCAAACGTTATCTTTTCGAGTTTTGCAATATAATAACACAAATTCCAACTCTAATTGTAGCAAACTTCAGGTTCGTATACGGCAGCCCACAACCATGAATCGAAATATCAAAACTACACAACAATTTGTTGTAACAAACTACGTAAGAACTGGACTACTTCATCGACTCAATGTTTTAAACAGTTCACGATGTGGTGCAAGAAGTGATAGTCATTCGGTAAAGCTAGTTTATAAGCCAACGCGTCGTGAACAGTTCTTTGCGGGCATTCGTCAGTACTCGTGCACAATCAGTATTGTCACCACGTATGATAATCACTGTTTTGTACAATCATTTTCTTCTTTGTAAGATGTATAATACTGCCATGTGAGTGAGAAATGCCATCTCAACATAAATCTCATATAATTATTTAAGTAAAGGAATTGTAAGTATCAATGGAAGCATTTATTGTTAAAAAAAGTGATTTACTTTGCTGTTCTTCGTTGTTTGTTACAGAGAAAACCAATTGTCCCGAGAGTGGTTGCTCACACATTTGTTTTGAGAATGGTCGACCAGAGTGCCGTTGTACAAATGCAACACGCCACATTTTAAACGAAAATTGTATTAATGTACGAGGACAAATAATAATCAAGTCTTCCATAGCAGAAATACCCTTATTTTCTAGTTCTCTGGTAGTGCCTCCAAAAAATGCTATAACGTTCGGGGTAAGTATCTGGACGCTCTATTTCAATGATACGAATAAAATGTAATCAGTATATTAAATAATAACGTTACATATTTAAGAAAAAATAGAAGTTTAAGATTGATACATACCAAAGATACCGTCATACATTTTAAATTTACTACAATGTAGCTTATAAAGTAATTTTTCTTGCAACCAATGATTTTAATTAACACTGAAATGATTTTAACAACCACCATCAGGGTAATCAAACTCATATAGAGGGAAGAGATGCCTCACAGAAATTATTATGTCCTTTTTACTTTCTTGCATACTACTCATATAGTAAAGAGACAGTAATGTAACGCTACGACAAAATGGGAATTTTTCTACAGTACTACTGGTGCTACAACAGCTCATACTTTCTCGCAATATTAACATGTTATCGTTATGAACAACGGGAGGCCCCAACATGCTTCATTCATTTTAAACAGAAATTACGCGAAAACTACTAACTTTTACAAAAATTGTACATGACCCTTTTTAAGCAGCTTATTTTGTACAACAGACGTTGTCCGTGACAAAAATCTCTACATTCAATTTTCCACTTTTTGTTTTGTTTTTTTACAATTTTCTAAAAATCCGAGCAATACATGCAAATGAGACTAACATCATATTTTTTACCGTCTCTTATAACATATGTGCAGAAAATGTAAAGACAACAAATGGAGCGGTTGCGATAATTTCAAGCGCAAAGTACGCAAAAATTACTCTTTTTTTATAAAAAATTATATTTTGAAAGAGCTAATTTCGTACAACTTTTTTGTCTGAGTCAAAAATCTCTACCTTCAATTTTGTAGGTTTTTGTTGTTGCAATTTTCGAAAAATATGGGATATCAATGAAAATTAGACCTTCTCCATTCTCTCAATGGTTCTTCGAAAAACACAGTTTAATAAAAAAAATTGAGCAATTTCTTTCATACGAAAGAGAATAAAAATGTCATAGATTCACAAAAAACTCGTCTCCTAGGGCAATTTGTTACAGATATACAATGAGAAACGTGTTTTTTATGTTTAATTTCTTCTCAGCTTCTTTTGCATGTATCAGGCTGAGAAAGAGACGGAGAAATTGGATGCATTTGAAGGTATTTTGTCAACCAATTTTAACGCTATATTCAAACCGAAAAACTTTTCAAAGTTTTTATTTTAAAATATATTTTCGACCTGATAATTTTGGAGTACTATTTCATTTTGCTTCCCCTATATAGGCTCTCACAACATTCTGTCATATTTTTCAGATATTTAAACAATATGGACGATAGTGAAAAGTAATTACAACCAATTTGATCAGTTCAAACATTTTAAATTCTCGCCAAAATGTAATTGAAAAAAGTATTTTTAACAATAGTTAAACTCATGTTAAATCACAATATATGTACTTAAAATCGTATTGGTCTTACATTGATTATTTACCAAACTCAATCGGACTATCCATGGTAGAAACAGATGGGTGAACTCTCCGCGTCGTATCCGATTTCAGCCAATGAGCTTCAGACACCATTTTGGGTCATAATACTCGTATTAACGGGAATATTAAATGCGAAAATTATCACAGTTGCAAGTCATTCAAACAGAAACAGATTACCATTTTTTTTAATATTGCACTTTTTATTTAATAACGTCTTTATTGTGTTGTTCTTGGTGGATTACCGCGTAAAATCGTCATTTTATGCAACTTACAAAACAGTGCTCGCTCTCCATGCAAGATAGCGACCATTGTCTGGTCTGGCTTTTCAAACGAAGTTCCCGTGTTGTGGTCACGTGGTTCGTGACGCAAACTGATGCTGCGCAGAAAGAGCAAAAATCGGTGCACAGGAGGAGCCCATCCATCTCTTTCCACCACGGGAAGTGTAACTATGGAAAATCCCATATCGGGAGTGAAACAATATTATTGTGAATGAGCAAACGGTCACACCATGGAATACTGCTCCCACATGCACGCGATCATTCTTTTATTTGGCACCCACTCGGTATTTGGCGAAAATTGTTAACGCGAGAGAAATTTGAAATAGACTGTTTATAAACAAACGCGTGATCCCAGTTATTGAAGAAAACAGTTACTGGATCTCACTCTATGATTATCTGATTATCGATGATTAAAAAATCTACATCTGTGACATTTGACTTATATTATAAGTATGAATGATTAATATGCCTAAAATAATGTAATTTGATTTATATTAGAAACAAAATATAAATGTAAAAGCAAAAGAGGTTTGATGATTTTTTCGATAATATAAATTCTTTCCACATTAAATACGAACATTTGTCAGCAAAAAGTTGTAAATGTACTGCTAACTGAGAATTTTCAATAATTTAAATATGAATTGTTTAAACGTTGGTGAAAATTTTTTCCGATTACAATTTGGCACGAATTTCAAATTTTAGACCTGATAAAATTGCTTTTAATTATTTTCCACTATCGCGCACATTGTTTAAAAATCTTGTGAAAAAAACTGTTATAAAATGTTACGAGGCACATGGTTAGGGAAAACTGATTTTGATAAAATTGAGATAAAAGTATTTTATTATTGTATTTTGTACCTATAATACGTTCTGCTATTTTGTTTTTATCTACCTCACAATTATAAACCCAAAATTTGATAATGGTAATCTTGAACCCTCTTTTTTGCCAAAATGTTAGAAGGGTATTATCTGTTAACATGATCCTACAACTAGTGTTCTCTCTAGGATTTTAGGCGTACTCTCTTTGCTGCAGCCAATAGAAAGCTCTGATTATTTTTGTTAATAATCTGAAAACGGTCTGCCACTAATAAAATCAATTACATTTTACGACTTTGGCCACATCTTTTCTGACAGACAGTAATTTGAAAAACCATTTGATGTAACTCTGAATCACATAATTATCAACGTAAAAGGTTTTATTTTTCATTAAGTAGACAATTTGTTCTGCGAGGACATTAATTTTTTACCCATCTTCAGATTACAACGAATACTATTTGAACACAAGAGAAAATTGAGGTTTTTAAAGAACGTTACTAGTGGTACTAAAATATCACGTACTTTATCGCCTGTGATTTCACCCAAAATAACGCAAAAAGGACACGTTTTCGAAAACTTTACATTACCTTATTTCAAAATATATATTCAAGGAACATATTTCATTATGGAAAAAGATATCTACTTTCACAATTATACTTGTAGGAAAACGCTGAAAAAATTTGAATTTTTGCAATTTTTGAAAAATCATTTTTCAATGAAAATTAGATCGGCACCATTATCTTCACAGCATTCAACTATTTAATAAGAAACGTCGGAGCCATTTTTTTAAATTTTCAAAATGTCCGAGAGTCTTCATGTAAAGTCCCCCCTTTAAAAAATAGGTTTCAATTTCATGGGGCCGCGACATCAGCCAGGTCGACAGCGGAATATCAATTTTTGAGAAAATCGGCGACACGTTAGGTCTTTTTTTCGGTATCAAGAACCACAAAATATGGATTCTGGCTACACTAAGTGTTAACAGACTTTTTCCAAATTTAGCAGCTAGATTTATTCGAACCTGAATTACAATAAAAAATTAAATAGGTAAATAATATGAATGACAGTTTTTAAATTATATTTTATTAATAAAGTGTTAAGTGACATACAGAACTTACAAACTTTCTTTTAACTGTAAATTGATGAAAACGCAGTTAGTACCCATTTTATTCTCAACCCTTCAATTTTAAAAATGTATTATTTATTTATTTATTTATTTATTTATTTATTTATTTATTTATTTATTTATTTATTTATTTATTATTAAATTTGGCGTCAAAATTAGATGACAAAAATACCTTCAAATTCAAGTATTTTTCTCCAGCTCTTCATTTCTCCCGCCTGATACACGCAATAGAAGCCGAGAAAAAATGAACATGAAAAACACGTTTCTCATTGTACAAGTAACAGATTGCCCTAGGACGCTGATTTTGTGGGAACTACGACATTTTGTATTCTCTTTCGTATGAGTCTCACCACTATCGATTTGGTTTGGGAGCACATTTCACCTCCTTATTCGGCCATACCCTTTGGTTCCAGAATGTAGTAAAGTACTTTCTCTAAACACGTGTAGTCAGTATCAACGTTTTTATGGCCTTTAATGGCGAAAAATTAGTTAAGGGCAAAATGTCTGTGTCTAAACTAGCGCCGAAACTCTTCAGCATATTTTCTCCAAAACTGATATTTTTCGGGAAATCTGTTGCAAGTCAAAGCCCTGCGAATTTGAAATCGATATTTTAATGTTTGAGAATACTTTATAGAAGCCTCTACATTTTAAAAAAATTCTTAGAAATTTTTCAAATTTTTTGATTCGTTTTTCTAAAAGAAAAGTATGCTTAAAATTGGAGCAGGACAGAATTTTGTTCAGCTCTCTGAATATTCGAAAATTGCAAAAGTTGAAAATTTTATGGGGGTTTTCCTTCAACTACAGTATTGACCGCAGGTACTTTTTCGTGAATAAAATATGTTCTTTGAAAGACATCTTGAAATAAGGTCATGTACTATTTTTCGAAATTATGAATAATTGTCGCGTAATTTCACGTGAAATATAGATAACTTTAAACAAATGATTAAAAATAAACTACTCTAAAGCTTTTCCTGAAATGTTTTCCACTAATTCAATAAACATGATGTAGGACTCATTTTAGTTGACATCTATGAATTTTGTAAAATTACAAAAGTTATAAATAATGTGAGAATGTATTTTGGTTTACTACCACTAGTTTGAACGTTTCTGTTTGTGAACGTACTATGTTTTATGTCATTTTCTATAAAATTTTACTTAAATTGTTGATATTCCCACTTAAACACAATATTGTTTTTCATAAGTAGGAATTAGAGAAGATACTGTGAACCAAGAAAGTGAGGTAAATCAGACAAGATTGAAAATAATTTTTGTTTCTGTACGGTGAAATATTTTGAAAATGTATTGAAAGTGGCGGCAAAATCTCATTTTCTTACACACTTCTGAGCATTTTTTTTCTTTCTCGCACTTACTAATGTAAGAAGAGAAAGTATTTTAATCATGGGCCGGAAAATTGCAAATATTCGACACAAAAACTCTAATTGCTGGGCCCTGGTAACTAAAAGAGAGGATAAATTCAGTTGCTAAATATAAAAAAATCTCTAGCCGTAATTACTGTTCGAAATTAATGAAGCATATATGGGCGTCCCGTCGTACATAATGAGAACATTTTAATATTGCTAGAAAGTATGTGGTGGTGTAGAACCTAGTTTTATAATATCGGACTTCGGTACTGGCCGCTGTGTTCAGGGTGTCGCGCTTCTTTTTTGGCGGTTGGTGCAGAACTTGATAATTTTGCTCGCATTGCGGGTAGGTAACCATGCACAGATGGGCGGATTTACGAATAGCAAACATTGGTGACCAAAATTATGAGTAAAAAACCTCTTCATTGCGTGCGTATTTTCTTTTTTATTTGTATTCAATGAGTTTTTAATAAGATTATTAAACGCTCGAAAATTAATTCATTAACAGGCTGATAATACTGACTGACACTGTTAATTGACTTGTTGTTTGTTAAGGTGAGCAGTATGTACATTTTTGATAGGTCATACTCATAAGATTTAATTGTAACAACTATAATTAATAACTGTAATTAGTTGCTGAAATGGAGTCATGTTAAATCGATAAAAATTATTCATATTACACATTTTAGAAACAATAATTATTTAAATAGTATAATTTTGATACTTTATTTGAAGATGTCTTATTTCGTTTTATTTTCAAGTGTTAAATGTAGACATCTTAGAAAGTTTATGAAATAAAGGTAGAATAACAAACATTGCGATACGTACAGTAATAAATATGCATAAAACAAAAAACATAAACATGATGCATTTATGTTATTTTATGCATCAAAATATATGACTATAATATAATTAATAAATTAATTTATTTTCCGTAGAAAAATTGAAGACGTATAAATTATTAATTAAATTGTATTTAATTTTAGTCATAAATGTATGTGTCGCATTTTGAACATACATTATATTAGTATTATATTAATTTTGCCTATATTTTTTTAAACTATAGGCGGCCATTTTCAAGTGTCCTCAGGCGGCAAAGTAGTTATCAGACTCAAATATCCCAAACCAGTGGCATAATGTTCGGGCCCGCGAGGAACGAGCCCAGGTATACGACTTTCAGCTTGAAGTTTTTTGCGATTGTAAGAAGTATCGATTACTTGATACTTTGCGATAGTTGATAGAGTAAAAGATTAAAAAAAGCATATTCCAGAAGAACGTTTTTTCCGCTTCAGTAGCTTACGCAACTCTGTTTTTGAATCAATTAAGATAAGCAATTCATTTAGGTTTTAATTTCATAAAACAGTCTTAATTTCATAAAATTAAATAATAAAGCAGATTCTTGTACTATTGGGTACTAAGCATGGACTGACGAATTCGAATTTGTTAAAGGATATTTTTATTATTTAAGGTACTCACACTACTGGTTTTTGCTTTACACTGTTATTAAAGGTGCGCTGATTTAAGTTTTGCGGGTGGACTCATTTCTTTATGCTACTGTCCCGAACACTACGTTGAGAAGAAAAGAACACGTTAGCAAGATCAAAAAATGGTCATTCTTTCTTCACCCACTCCCAAATAATAAAATAAATTGTGTATACAAAGGCGTCCAGCGAGAAGGCAGTTCACTTAGAGTTTCCTGTCAAAAATCGCCGATTTCTGCTGCTGCATTATATTAATTAACGCAAGTAGGTAGTAAAGCGAGAAAGTAAAAAGTATTAAAGAAAGTATGTACCTTTCTAGTTTGGAAATTATCATTAAAGACCATTAAATAAAAAGTGCTTTTTCAACTTCGTTTAACATTATTTTCTTTTCATCTAGACTGTTTCGCCCCAATCAAATTGGGAATATGGATTAATTAATCTTTATGAAGTATTTGTGAATGAAGTTATGGAATATAATAACAAGAGACAGATTTTACAGATTAATAGTGTTGACGATGGAACTAAGCATTTTGAATCTAGCCGTTTGTTGGAGATTACTAGCAATTGCATATTAAGTATAGGTAAGTACACAGTAAGTGTAGAGCAACAAAAATTGTGAACATTAGATTTTTGTATAATTATACTTTGATTTCTAGGTACAAGTCTGAATTTAAGCTCTATATAATGGCAATGCAATTCAAACATTGACAATTCGGGATTCAAGGTTGTAGAAATATGCAAACGTGTGCTATGACTAGACTTCAAAATTTTAGGCAAAAAAATATGATTTAGGCATCTATAATAGACAGTAACATTATCAAATTAGGCACTATTGGGCACGAAGAGAAACGTTTTATGAACTTCAAATAAGTTACGAAATTATTAAACCAGACAATTAAAAGCATTAGACATGAAAAGTTATGTTTCTGGTACTTCAAACTGAGCAAAAAACGCTTACATAAAACTTTTTATTATTCAAGAAATACAAGAATTTTTACATTTGTGATAGTGACCGCAGGCATATTCTTTTATTCACTTTCATAGCAGCACGATATATAATGAACATTTTCTCCAAATTTTCTTTGTTAAAATCGCTTTGAAAGCTGAAAAGAATCTTTCCACTTACCCAGAAGTTATACTAGAAGAAACTTAAATTTAATCACATTATTTATGTCCAGGATGAGTGATTTGCAGAAACTGCGACAAGAAATTCTGTGCATCGCCTTTCTGTGTTCTCGTTAGACGAGAAGATTCTGAAAAGACGACACATAATTGACATAGGAATAATTAAGTATTGAAGAATATATCGCGGTAACTTCAGTCTACACGAAAATAACGTTCTTGTTCATGCTTTCTATTTGTGCACGCTGCATTGTGACGCGTTTCAAAGCGCTGGTTCACAGAGACTACATGATAATTCTTTTCAACGTACCACCAACTTTCTATACGCGTTTTCCTTAGCTTCACTACACGATTGCAATGAATCTGCTCGCGGTTCTAGATACTCAAACAATGGGATCATGGTGTCTCTTATGTGAAACAACTGCATTCTAGGATATTTCTTCAATGTGCAAATTCTTCGTCAGCGGCAGGCGAGGAGGTGGTGCGATCTACCGGTCACTTTTGGCAAGCAGTTGAAGGTTTATTCCAAAGAGTTTCATACAAAATTAATTATTTGTTACACGCGAGAGAATTCGCAGGTTTTTAGGCCAAAACTAAACGAACGCAGGACATTTGAAATGTATCATCTTTTCTTCTTACTTTCAAAGAGTAGCCAAACTGAATGAGCTCCAAGCATGGCGCCAAATTTGAATTTAACCGCCTATGTGCCAACACAATTTTTCTAGGACTTCCCCATTCTCCTCAACCAAAACCTCTGCCGTCGACAATTTTTTATTTTTTTTATTACTCTCTCATTTATACTTCAACTTTTTTCCGAAAGGCTTCTCGAGCTCCAATAATTTTCACTTTGGCCTCTTACACCACTGACACTTGATCTGTCAAATGCTTTCCTTTGTGTTCGATTACGGCTGTTGTTGATTATCAAAATCGCAAAAAAGTACGTGCTGTAATTGTAGCACCACGAGTTTCTTCTTTATTATTTGTAACAAGGTTATAACGCTTGTAAGTGCTGTGGGTGTTACATTTAACAATGTAAAGGAAAATTTTATATTCCTGGAAATATAACAGTTTGTCAGTATTGACCCCACATGCGACTGCACACATTTAATTTTATTGCTCTCCCAAAATAACTAAAAACTATTTTGTAACGATAATAGTGTCTGTACTACACCTTCAATAATTCAGTTCGAGATTCCTTTCTTAGTAGAATTCATTAGAAAGTACTAGATATTTTAATCATTTCATATAAACGTTTCCGAAATACAAGTATTTATCGCGATTGTTGAGAGTAGTTTCCTAAAAGTGTAAAACGGAAATGATTCATTAAAGTGTTGCATCCTCAGAGAACAGGAAGAGCGTGTAGTAGAAAGTTTCCATCAATTTGTGCATTTGGTTGTTGCCGCTATGAGCGGTGTTGCGGAACGTATATGGATAGAGAAAGAATTCTGCAACCAAATGTCATATTGTTATATTCTCGCTACCACTTACGCAGTAGAGAAAGTCATGCAATGCGGGAAAAAGCTACGAATGTTTGACAAAACAAAACATCATATTGTAGAGTCCTGGTAATGAAAAAGTGGGCAAATCCAGTTCCTAAATTTAGATGAAAAAAATCTTTTAAAAAGAGGGTTATCCAGAATCCATGTTTGTGGGTCCTTGATATCGAAAATTCGATTAACGGCAAAAACGGTACGTCCATCTATGAAGAACACAGGCGGCTAAGCCGTTCATCCAATTTTATCTTAAAATGGCGTTTCCCTATTGATCTGACTGATACAATGGAATCTAGATTTGGTTTACACTGGAATTAGAAACCGAAATTTTACTTCCGAGATACTTCACGTGAAGTCCCTGGGACATTTTCTAATTTTCAAAAAAAAAAAAAAAGTCCATCATTTTTAATTAAAATTTATTCTTGTATAGTCTTAAGGACGTTTAATTATGATTTATCGAAAATTGCAAAAATAAAAATAAAATTGGCGTCTTCCTACAACTAAAATAATAAAGATAGAGATTTTTCCCTTAAGAAAATATTTGCCTTAAAGATAGATTTTGAAATAATGTCATGTACAATACATTTAAGTGAAATATAGGTTATTTTTGTTTTATTTCTCAAAAACCGCGTCATTGTTTTGGATGAAATTTTGCTGTTAAATAATGTCATAAACGTTTAAGAAAATCGTGGAGGTATCATGTTGGTTGAAAACATCGATTTTTTTAATATTGAAAACATTCAAAAGTGTTTCACCCTTTTCCTACGACTACAATATGAAGATACATTTTGTTTCTTAATGAAATGTGTTCATCAAAAACAGATCTGCAAAGAAAGTCAGGTTAAAGGTTTCCAAAATGTGAGTATTTTTTGAGTAATTGGGCGTCACATTTAGTCATCTGTTTTGAAAAGCCCCCCAGACATTTTCAAAATTTCCTCAAAAACGCCTCCAAATATTTTATTCAATTTTTTTGTAAGAATAGAGTAAAATACACTTATAAAGATGGCATAGGTTGGATTTTCACGGTTAACTCTGAATTTTTGAAAATTTTAAAAGTATGATGTTTTTCGGTGTCTTCCTACAACTACAAAATTAAAGATAGGGATTTTCCCTCAAATAAAATATGTTATTCATAGTAAGTTCTTTCTTTAAAGTTATTCAATTTGTTTTGATAATTATAGTAGTTTTCGCACAATATTGCATGCAATTACTGCTATTTAAAATGATACAAAAACAATATTTACCCAAAAACGGCTCCAAACCGTTTTTTAAACTTTTGGTTGGGATAGTGCTGAGTATCTCTATAAGATGACATAAACTACATATTGGACTATTCATTTGTTTTTTCAAAAATCACAAAAACTTATTTTTTTGATTTGTCTCTGATGTCCTTAATATTTATACAACGGCAATTTGTTCACATTATATTATTTACGAGTATGATGAGTATTATTTATATGAGTTTATATTATGAGATTTAAATTGTCACATAAAGTTTTTCGAAAACTACTTCAAAACTCCGCATGCGAAACTTGTGTAAAAACTAGCTGAAAACTCCGCATTTTCAGAAACGCTAAACCGCCATTTTCTGAAAAACGGCTCAATTTTTTTCTTCAAACATTTCTAATGGATAGTGGTAATTGTACTCTTAGATATGACGTAAAGTTAATTCCAGTGTATTTGTTGTTTTGTCAAAAATTACACAAATGTTAATTTTTTAAAGATCTCTCACGCTGTTCATATGCACATTTCCAGAGATTTGTAAAGAAATTTGTATTTGTCACTTAAAATGATATCATATTAATTTTGTCGAAATTTTCTGTGAAAAAGAGCTTCAAATTTAGAATTTGCAATTCCGTAAAAATACAAAAACAAGATTTACCCCAAAACGGCTATAAATTTTCAAAAAAATTGCAATTTGGGACAAAGTTTTACTGTTATTTAAAAATCTTGAAATAATTTTTCCACTCCTCAGTTAGGAAACAAAAATATTAGAAAAATGTAAAATATTTTTTTTCTTTGGGAAGCGATAGAGGGCAGCAGGTAAGAATATGTGTCAAGTTCTAATAGTTAACTGAGTCCAAAGGAAATAGAAAAGTAATTGGGAAAATCTGTGCCATTCTGTAGCACCATTAGTTTTAGAAGTGTTTTGAGGCAGGTGGATGCTACGTAAGTTAGAATGTGTCTATTATTTCATATTTCCTTGTATGAAAATAATATTTTATATATTACATAAAACCTATTTGATATAAATATGAAATAATGATTACTAGCCTTCAGTCGCCCGCTTGCAATTTGCGTAGTTAGATGCTAAAAAATTTCGAATTTGTATATTATTTCATATTTATTATTATTATTATTATTATTATTATTATTATTATTATTATTATTATATATATTTATACATTATTTCACAAGTATCTACTGCGTATGAGTTTAGATGCTTCTTAACAATACGGATTGTATCAAATTTTACACCTTTTTGCATATTATATAACATCTGGCATACACTGAAGACACTCAGTGCTCGAAGTGTCATTTTGTCACTCCTGTTAGTGTATTATTATAGGCCACTGTTCCTGTACTGAAGTTCCACTGAATCACTTCATGGCGAGATAGGTATAGCTTCTGGGGATCTCTCTTGATATTTTCCGGATATTTGTGGTATGGTATTGAATATCGATAAGAAAACCTGCTGATGGTTTCTCTCAATGTAACTTAAATCGGTCTATGCAGGCCGAATTCTTGTCTGTTGATAATTGAGCGATCCAGTAGTAGTGTTGCTCACTTACTTTCAATGCAATTTCTGAGGCACATAATTTTATAATACGGCACCGGAAGTGGGAGTAAGCTCTTCTCAATGCCAAATTGGTGGACCTGCTCGCCACTTCATCATGCACTTGTTTTATTCAATGTGCGTGCTGATACATCCACTTGTCATGTGTTGGATAGTTTGCACTTGCAGCCTCCACATCTTCTACAGCGAGTCCGAATGAACAGGATAGAATTATCAGAGTGTGTTTCTTGTATTCATGTTGGTTACCACTTGGTCCTGATAGCTTATCAATGAAGCTCTGCTCGAAAGAGAATCCCGTCTTGGTGCATCGTTGCGACGATGAGATTTCGACATCAGTTACTCACTCGTGAGGGGTACCATTCATGCAGTGCTTCGCTTCCATAAAATATTTCTCTTCCGTTTCAATGATTGGTTGAACGACGGATTCAACTTTCAAGTTCAGAGATATAGTTATTATAACCTGCGCTCACTGCTTTGCTGAACGTCCCTACAATTTCCAAGAAGTACCTTTCTGAGTGACGAAATTTTGAGAGCTTGTAGATTATGAAGATCTACAATATCCTCGCCTCCTTGCGACGCGTCAGTAATTGAATGGGATGATGTTTTGGTGTCGAGTCATAGCGGTTCGAATTGTCTCTCTGGAGTTGTCCAGGTCGGTAATTCTCATTTATAACGGCCAAAGGAGCATGTCAAAATGCACTGGAATACAAATGGAATTGATGCTGCACAAAGGTTTCTAGCAGAGAGTTGAGTTTGAAATCCTGCAATCGTTTTACACACACTTCCGTTAGTTAGTAATGTTCCTAAAGTAACTAGAATGTTGATTCGGATAACGTTGGAAACCCAAGTATTTGAAGTTTCAATGGGGCCAAGAAGGTAACTTGGTCTTATCATTTCCAAAATTTATACTGCATAGCCCGAATATATTCACTCTCCTGCACTTATCAACGATTTCATCTGATTTCGTCAGTGAACATCTCCGTCACGTTATTAGTTATGCCTGCATATGCCTCTACAGTGTCTGCATAAAGAGCTTCAGGTCATCCATGTATAAGAAGAGTGAACACTATAGAAGATTTGAGTCCCTTTTTAAGAGCGATTCCATAATAGATAATTGAGTAGGAGTAAGACTAGGGGATTCAAGGGCTAACGACAACAATTAAGGCTTAAAAGTCACCACGGAAAATCCCTAGGCGGATTGGTATAGAACCTGTGTGGACGGATTGTTTCCTTAGAGAGATACAGTTTTGTTTCCAATCGACTCATGCAGTTTCAGAAGTTTTGATAAACTGTGGATCTAGATACATCAAACATTGAAGTAGCAAGGAATAGGCACGGTGTCGAACTAGCTTTTAGCGTAATCTGATGTAGCAGTATAGCAAGTTTCTTTGTTTTTCAAGCCTTGCCAAATAAGAGTCAGCAATGAGTTGCTCCTGCAAACCTGAATCCAGGTCTACACTTTTCATTTGCTAAATTTGTTCTCATTGTGCATCAATAATGCGAAACCAAGATATGAGTTTGTATGAAAAATTTGAAGCAGTAATAGGAGTACTCGAGGGTTCTCTTAGTGCACCTTCTTTGGTTAAAGAATTTTCTAGCTTCAGTGAGGAAGTAAGGTAGATTCTGGATTGTGAGAAAATATTGGAACTGTATTACTATATGAATGTGAGTGCTGTAAATTTTTTGAGACAATAATTGTGCAGACACGGCTGCTTGGTACTTTCCATTTATGTGCTTTTCAAAGCTCTTGACCATTCCATGGTGAGAATGGTTCACCCATTAAAGAATATCTCGGTGTCTGCATATTCCATTCAATCCACGTCATGTCTGGGTGTGGGACAAACAGCAGATGACCAGATAGGCTTCCAAAGTCCTCTATTTGCTTTGAGGAAGCTCTGACTCTTTCATATCATTTCACCTCGCCTTATGACATATTCCTGTAGAATCTTCTTGGTTTCTGTAAAAAGTGAATCTGTTGATTCTTCGTAGTGCATTCTGAACGTCGAAGGCGGTTTGGTAACGCCATAGCTGTCGTAAGTGTCAAGATGTCTGTTTTTCTGAATCAATGTCGTACTCGTATTATTTTGTATTGATAAGAAGTTATTACCTTTCTTCTCAGTTTTTTCTGAGGATATTTCCATTTTTAAATTGTGTATCTCCCTATTCTCTCCTAGTGCTTCTATACATCACAGCCTGTCTTTCCTAAGGGGCATTCTTTTTTCACTTCGATTCATGTGGGCAATTGCTACGGCGGGCTGAAAAGCTGGAACGTTACATCTTGAAGCACAACGCACACAATAAATTGCTGGTGTACTCTCGAAAGATGGTGCTTTGTTGGTAAATTTGTTGGGTATTGTCTCATTCAAAGACGCTGATTGCATCTTTCAAAGTCTTCGAGAATTTTTCTGCGGGAATGAGAGCGGTCAATGGGGTAGTTCCTTCAAATCCGCAAGTGCGACTGCAAATTCATTGCGAATGCACCTCTTCACTACTCTTATCATCCATACTTTGCTGATATGACTCGTCCATTGTCATCTGGAGTTGCACAGCTGATATCTCCACTGTCCTCGAATTACTAGGTTTGAGGAGTTAAGCATTTTTATCCGTCTTCCTTGATTGCTTCCAAAACTGGAGGCAGAGGAGATTTTTCTGAACAATTGCGTCGACGCTGTCGCTATTCTTTGCTCACTACTGTCAGAATCAGGGAAACGGTGGAAGAATGTTTGATTGTAACCTTTTAAAGTCGGTTAGCCGTAGTTCAGTCCCATTTGGTAAGTTGATATATTCACGCATGATGAAGGATTATTTCTGTGTCCACTCATCTTTTGCGTTGCCTGCTGCCGCATGGTCTCTGTAAGCAATAGAATGCTTTCTGGAAGCACTTTCGGGAGTGCACATCAGTGAGATGGATGGTGCTGCATTTCGGCTGTAGTATATTCGGTTATCCCCGATCAGGGCCCGCCTGTTCAGCTCCTGATCACCACCGGCCGCATGCTGTACCTCCAGCGGTGGCTCGGCAGGTGCCGGGCGCTCCAGTGAGCGCTGCTTTCCGAGTGCCTACGACGCAATATCCGTGGTCTGCCATATCTTATGGTTGTCCATCGCCATCTGTTTTGCCGCCAAATTTTTGACGTTGCCAGTTTCCACTGGCTAAGTTCTCAATTGCTCGGACGTAGGGCTGGACTTTGGGAGACTTAATAATAATAATAATAATAATAATAATAATAATAATAATATTTTTATTTATTATATTTATATTATTTCATTTTAATTGTGAAAACTATGTAAAACGTATAGAAGAGCTGTCATTATTGGCTGTAATACCGCATGGGTAACAGAAAATGAAAGGCTGCCTTTCGTTCGCGTTAATATACACCAATACTTTTATACAATTGTAGAATATTACAATACCATAGTGTTTCTTAATTACTATTTTATAATTTTCGATCTATTTTTGGGTTTATTTGCCAACGATATAAGTATCATATTTGTAATTAATTTTCAATTACTTTACTTTCTCGCATATCGTTTACAAAGAACAATGTAAGAAAAAATCTCATACAATATGTTCGTGAATACACTGCATTCCTTATACAATGAATTCAATGCCATTTTGTTCATTTAAGGTTTTGAATAAAAATAGTTTGCTTCAAACTATTTAATTTTCGCACGAAATATTCTACAATTTCAAATGCATTTTACAAAAAAGTATGACAGATGTGCTAATTCGGAGAGAAATTGTATAAATAGTATTACATAACCATTACTGAAGGCGAGACAGTACATGCTACTTTAGCACCACTATTTTACTTGCCTCTCTCGTCGTCATATTTACATTAGCGGCTATTTGTTCCCAATTTGGCATTTAGATATGTGCTTTGAAGTGTCTAGTAAAGTTTCTCGAAAACTTAAAAGTTTTTCTGTGAAAATTAACTCAAAATTACAACCTTTCAGAAATGCTCAAACGCCATGATCTCAAAATTTTTTCGGTAAACTTTCCTAACGGAAAGTGCTAATTGCAGTGTTTGATGTGACGTATAACTCATTTTGATGTATTTTATTTTTTAAAAGTTTTATAAATGTACTTTTTTAAAAGTATCTTTCACGCTTTTAATACGTACATTTTCAGTTATTTGTATACATTATTAAATGTCTGAGTGGAAATGCTTCTAATGACTTCCAATGACGTTTTTCGAAAACTAAAAAGTTTTCTGTTAAAAAAACAATTTTGCTTTTACACTACCTCGTAAACGATATTTTCGCAAAAACGACTCCAAACGTTTTCACGAAAATTTCCTTGTAGGACTAGGTTTTACTCTTTTATAGTATTCTTAAAGTAATATTTCGATTCTACTGTTAAAAAACCAAAAGTCTGAAAACAAATTTTAAAAATATACTTTGCGCGGCGATAAAATGGTAGCTGGCAACAGTATGTTGCATGTCCCAAAAGATAGCCAAGAAAAATAAATTAGAATGCCAACTAGAAGGAGAAAGTGTATGCCATTCTGTAGCACTTCTGGCTTCTTAATGTTTTTCGTGAATAAGACAAGGAACGCTTAATATAAGAGCATAGGTTTAAGTTTCGTTGAATTTTCTTTGTGAATATTCAAATTGCAAATGTAGATATGAGAGAAAGTATGTGCTGTTGTGCCACCACTATTATATCACTGTATGGTTGTAAAGGGTTCAAATGCTTGGAGGAATGTCTGATAATGTCTATTAAACTCAAAATTGTTTTGTTATTATGGGCTCAAAATTGTGTATTTTCAAAAACGCTCAAAACATTTTTCTGAAAAACAATTCTATGTTTTTCATGAACTTTAATACAGTTGTTTTCTCTTCTGTAATAATTTTAAAGTCATTTTTCCTTTCTACAATTAAAGAACCAAAAAATTGAGAATATGTGAAAAAAGTCATACTCCGGTATGTAGCAGATTGGAAGAACTTGGAGCAATACCAGGCTAAAGAGATCAGAAAATTAACCTTTCCATGAAAGTGTGTGTCATTCCGTAGTCCCACTTGTTGGAACTTTCGTAGTGTGTTTTTAAGCTCTTAAAAGGTTTTTAAAATGCCTTAACACCTGATGAGTGTTGATTACTAACGAAAATAAATGTGTTAATATATTTACAATTTTTTTTCGTAGGTTTTAGAAGAGAACACCTAGCCCTAGCTGAAATTCGCGGCAGTCTTAGTTACGACATACTTCCTGTACTAGACGGAATTTGTGTATCTGTTATATACACGACGCCTGAAAGCAATGGAGACATGAAATTGGTCGTAGGATTGGCAAATGGAACAATATTTGAAGTTTCAAAATATACGGACCGTGAGGTGAGCTAAATGAAGCCTTATGAATACATTGAAATGATATCTTACAACTAATGAGATAATTTCAAAAATATTTTGAAGGAGCAAATTATGTACACTGGTATTGTTACAAATATTGGTGTATTTTGTTTTTCAACTATTTTGTTTGTTTATAGAAAATAGGTAAATAGATAGAAAAGTAAGTAGATTAAGAATATAAGTACAGAGAATAGATAAATAGAATAGGCACACAAATAGCATTCGACACGAATCAGATGCAAGAACAAACTTGTATTTAAAACAGTGGCGATTTTGTGGCATTTTTGCGCGGCTTTTGTTAAATTTCCCCTTTGTTCGGGTCTATTTGTTCTAAAGCTATGGAGGTGGAGGGCTGTCGCTATAACGTAAGATGCACTTTTTTAGAATGCCCAAAACCAAGCTCATTTATCTCTTTTCATTTCTTTAAGGCAATTGGATAGATTTACATTGAAATTGCAATAGAAATGTTTGATTTGAAGGCAACACTAAGCTTCATTCAGTCCAAAGAATTATGAAATTATTTTTTAATTCGTTGGGTATTCGGTTGTCATTAAGTTATGATTAGTGCTTGCTCTGCAAGGTTGCCCACTCCTTCCAAGCAAGAAATTCAATGTGACGTACTTCAGTCTCCTGAGTAGTCGCTGCTACTTCAGCATTCCACACATCCAACGTATGTTATCACGCGCGACGTAACGTGCGCTGTATTCAAACTATCGCGACACTCCTCTCAAGAGTGAAGACACTGGCCAATCGCTGTGTAAAAAGCCGAGTCACGGAAGTTGGGTATTCGACACCCACTTTCGTGACTGCTTCAGTTCAGCTCGCGGTTCAAGTGACGGCTGTAGCAGGGAGGTTCAAGGGACACCGCCCTTCAAAATAGTACACATCCATCATTTCTTGCTTTTTAGAACTCCGTATCCTAATACGTTTCCTCCAACTCGCGTACAGGGTGCAGTAGTGTACAAAATCTATCTCATGATGGAAGAATGTTTCTTCCACCATTGCCAATTTAATCACTATGTTTATATACTATATTCACTGTGTGTTGCATCTGGCTTTCATATTCCAACTCAAAAATTGTGTGGCCTCCCTCAAAATAGTCTCTGGAGCCGCCACCACATCACTATCATTATCTTGTGGTAACGCAGCAGCTTTTCAGGGTAGGGAGAGGAAGATTACTATTATGAAATACTATATCACGTTTGGAATATGTCATGCTACTTTTATACTGACATTCGTGGATTTATAAAAGAAATATGTGAAAATATTCCTAAACATTGAACAATATTAATTATAGTCAAACTGTTATTTTGTGGGGGCAATTTTTTTAATGTCTGATGTGAAAATTGTTTTTCTTTCCTATGGATTCCAATGGTTCTTTCTTAATACACGAGTCAATCTGGATATTCTATCTTCCTTTTTGTGTTTCTTTTATAATTATGTTTCCTTTTCAGAAAAACTATTTTCTATTGATACTTTTGCAGCTCGTATCGTGCATAATAATTTAACTAAACTGAAGATCCTTAAATACGTAGTCAAGTTTGCCTTCTTTCAAAAATGTTACATTTTTATTGGAATTTGTCTTGAAGTTCTATTAAAAACAGTTTCTTAATAGCAATGATTTAAAAGTCTTTTTGCATGAAAGTTAACACACAAATTCTTAGAAAAAAACATCATTTTCAAGATGAAATTTCAATTAAAAGCAGAAGCGCACCTAGAATTTGTGTGTGTGTGTGTGTGTGTGTGTGTGTGTGTGTGTCAGGGGTGGGGGCACACGTATAGTGTCCAGCCGACTTAGTGTTTTCGTATAAAGAATTTTTCATTTTATGCTGAATAAAAATATAATTTTGTCTGTTAACTTTTTGTTTATTTATAAGGGTTAGTGGAAGTTCTTCCTCAGCGGAAAGTTTATAACTATTTTGTATTCACAATTCTATGAATAAAATTGCAAATTGTTAATATCTTTAACTTGATGTATTGAAATAATTTCGATAATTGTAAAATTATTGAACGCTATATTTTTTAATACCTCTGTGTCATCGGCTTCTCGCGGGCTGAAGCTCCATGGGCTCTCTCCCACTTGGATGCGCTACTGGTCAAAAGCTTCTCTTCAAGAGTAAATGAACCAAATAGGTTTTTTTTATTTTTTATTTAAGGTCGCATCAACTACTAGGTCATTAGCGACCACTATTGCTTGTAACGGTATGGTAACTGTGGGTTGACATGATAATGATGATTATAGGGGGTGAAAGGACGAACCACAATACAACCATGCCCGAGGCGGGACTCGAACCCGCGATCCTTCGGTCCGAGTTCGCTACGGCACTACTGCCTTAGCGATCTCGGCCACCGGATCGGCCCAAATAGTTTTTGTTTCAGCTAAAGTGCGATATCTTCAAGTTCCTTCACAGAGCGTGACTTAAAAACTGAAACATTAACTACCTTGGCAAAAGCACTCAAGAGGGAAAACTCACAAAAGCAATGCTTTATGACACTCTAAAGTTCATACTATGTTCAAACTCGACAAACTCAGTCTAATTTGTGTTCACTTCCATTTCAAAATTGCTCTATTACTTGGTTTGAATGCGAAACATTAAAATGAGACTGTTTTGTATGTTAACGTGAATAAGGTTTTGGTTAAGTGTAATAAAAATAAGTTGTGGGTCGCATTCATTTGAAAATCGTTATTTGAGGACTTAACGTAAAAGTGAGAAATCGAACGTAAAAACGTACATTCATTCTCTAACATTACTTACAATTTTGTTTCCATCGTGTTCACTTGAAATTCTTCATATTTAATAAGTTCCAAGGCAATACTGTTCGTATGGGTTTGCAAATGTATTTTTTTAAATATGGTATTAGGCATACTTATAAAAATTAAAATGAAATATGCCGCACGATTCACTTGTTCAAATTAACTTCACTTGTTCAGTTATAAATGCCAACATCATGAAAGAAAATTATGGCGTGTTGAGCGAAAAATGTCTCTTGGTTAACTGGAATTTAATCAATGCCACCTACATTGATCTATTTAGGTTGTGTTGGTTTAATTCCCGGCATACTCACGAACATGGCAACGACAAAACACGCAATAAACACGATTTTGGACATTTATTTTAATCTTCTGGTCGGATTCGAAAAAAAATATCAATTCCCCATCGAAACACCAAGCCGAGTCAAATGACACCTCATGTGTGTCATTTGGTGCACGGGAAGTGGACTAGCCGTGTGTGACGGAACCGCAAAACCGAACATCCGCACACTTGCTCAAATACTGTAGAGGGATAATTACTATTGTGCGGAAAATTCATATTTTTTCTTGTATATTTGATATTTTTAGTTTGGTGACTGGAAAATGCGATCTTTCATATCATTTGGAAAAATGGCAAATGATAAAGTCAATTTACGACTCGAAATATCTGGTAAAGGAACGATACTGCATAGTATTTTCGGCTGCAATCCTTTTGGTAAGTTACAGTTAGAGACGCCTAGTGGATTAGAAAATAGAACCGATTGCTTATTTTGTTATTTATTGAACATTTTCTAATTTAAAAGGTCCGAGAGATATTACCGTATTTAAGAATGCAGTTTCCAGCCCCAAGTTGAATACGTTGGAAGGTATGTAGACAAGATGTCAGGCACATTTCATATAGTGATAATAATGATAATAATAATAATGATAATAATAATAATAGTAATAATAATAATAATAGTAATAAT